TTCGCTAAGTTAGGAGTTTTGGAGCACTCGACTCAAAACACATTCTCTTGAGGCTCCAGAGTCACTAAAAGCCGCCTGTCCTCTGGGTTATGTGTGTCTGTACTGGGGTGGGAAGCCCGTGGGTCTTCAGGCTGTGCACAGCAGGAGTCCCCACAGTCACAGCTCGTGGGTGGTGAGGGTCCCATGTGGCTTCTCTTGGGGGATTTGAAACCAGAAGATGGGGTCCTCGCTTCCACTCTCTGCTTTTGGGAACTGGGGCAGGCAGGAGAACATGATGGTGACATGGGCCCCTGGGAAGGGAGTAGGTGCCCTGCAGGGTGGTATGCTCAGGGCCCAGGCAGAAAGACACTTTCACAGGAGCAGACATCGCCACATTGTCCTTTCCAAGTCTGTTACTGCCCCGCCATGTTGAGAAGGATGTGAGTGTTGGCAGAGTAAAGAGGCCTCTGCGCTTGGTCCTGGCCTTCCCCCCCACCCGCATGCCTGAGTCCTCCTTTTTCACCACCTCGAGACCAGTATCCTGTGGCAGGTTTCCGTGGAGGACCCCGTCTGTGCCCTGTAGTCTGGCCAGTGTTCTGGTGGGCATGGTTGCGACTGCTGCTGCCTGAGGTCACTTGGCTCAAGAGGTCACCCTAGGGTCGAGAACTTTTCTGGGAGACAGTCACAGAACAGTGATATTTTGCCAGCAGGTCCACGCCTACCTGCTCTTGACTTTGAGGACATCTCCAGTCAGTGAGTAAACAACCGATGGGCTCCAATGTCTCAGCTGGAGGCAGGCGCAGTGCCCAGAGGGGTGCTCCCAGATGCCATCTCACTGGGCCCTGTGGCCTGACAGGTGGGTCCCATGATGGTCTCTAGTTGCAGAGAGGACAGAGACCCAGGTCAGGACGTCAGGCCAAGTCACAGGGTCAGTTGGTGTAGCTATGATCCAACCTTGTGCCTGACTGTACTGCCTACCTGGGCCATTGGCCATTGTGACTCTTTCATTCCTGCTGAATGATGGGCACGAGATCAGGCTTTCAGTGGCTTTTCACTAAGAAAATCAAGGTGTGCTTGCTTCATGAAGTGCTTAGTCACGTTGTGGTTTCTAAGTTCCAGTGTGTGTTTAACGTGCAGATGGAAGACTAACCGACCACAGCAGTCCTTGGGCTGCTCTGATGTTCTTTTCTTGTGCCGTTGGTGGGCTACGTACGTGTGTGAATGTGAATATTTCTTAATTCTCTTGTTCAAAATGGGCTCTGTTCTGAGAAATGAGCCGGAGTTCATTACTGAGTGCTTGGCACGGCTAACCGCACACACGATGGAGTTACAAGATGGTACTGGTGCGGGATAGAACAACATAGTGGAACTGTCCAAATTAAAGCCTTTTTTTTTTGGATACTCGGAATTGAACCCAGGGTCACTTAACCACTGAGCCACATCCCCAGCCCTTTTGTATATTTTATTTAGAGACAGTTTCTTAGGACCTCACTAAGTTGCTGAGGCTGGCTTTGAACTCAGGATCCTCCTGTCTCAGCTTCCTGAGCCACTGGGATTACAGCTGTGTGCCACAGCGCCCAGTTTAAAGCATATTCTTTAAGACTTTTTTTTTGGGGGGGGTGGGGGGTTACTGGGGATTAAATCCAGAGGTGCTTTTACCATGAAGCTACAGCTCTAGCTTTTTTTATTTTGATGCAAAGTTGTCACTGAGTTACTGAGGCTGGCCTTGAACTTGAGCCATCAGTATTCTTAAGTATTTGGACTTGAATAGGCTTTTGATGACAGTGGTATTTGTGATGAGTTTCCAGGCAGGGGGTTTCTGCTCCCTGCCTCTGGAGTGGGATCGCTCCTGGAGGTGCAATTCTGAGCTCAGGAATAGAGCCTGCTGACTTGGCGCAGCCACCCTCTGACTGGTCCTCTTGGAGACGTAGGATGGCACTCTGAGCTGTCTCTGGGCCTGTTTGCCCCATGCCTGCTTTCAGTCCCTAGGCTCTGTGATTGATGACTGAAGAGATGAGAGGAAAGCAGCGCCCATGGCAGTGGTCCAAGAGCCTGGCAACTGTCATTTCGCCCTTGCAGCGAGAGTGTGGCCGGGGTTGTCCCTGAGCTCCTGGGTTAAGTTAGATTCTCTCCAGCTTTCCTCACCGTGTTTTATATCTGAGCAACATCAGCACATGAGATGTTGGGAAGAAGGTTTTGCCTCGTGGCGACAGAGAGAGATTTGGGGAAGTGCTGGGCAATCTTAGGTCACAGGGGCGCGGCTTTGTAGGCAACGCTGGTGTATCTTGGCCCTCGCTCTCTTAGAGCTTGGTCTGTGGGCTTCCCTGGTCTCCTTGGCTCTGACCAACTGAGGGGCTAGAAGTGATCCCACCAGGTTAGTCCCCAGTGTGTACCTTTGCTTCTGTGAATTCTGTCCTGCCTGGCTGCAGAACCTCCCCCTTAGGAGAAAGTCCCTTGAAATGTCAACGTTTGTAATTTTGATGGGACATTGAATCTCCTTTCTGTGGAGCATCTCAAGCTTCTGTTCAATGTATATAAATTCAGCAGCCCTGGTTACTGGTAGTAATTCTTTGCTGCTTTTCAACATTTATAATGCACGCATCATGAGGAACTTGCTGGAGGAAGGCTCACCATACGTGCAGAGTTCCTCCCCATGAAGCGTACTGCATAGACGGGAACCTGGAGAAGGCCCTGCAGTGACGTGGGACAGAGCCCCAGGTGCAAGTTGAATGCCAGTCCTTTAGGTGTACAGCGACTGACCTGAATAGGGAACAAGTTGTACTTGAGAACTGAGGATATAAAATGTATATCTGGAGAATTTTCTACAGAACTTTTGTTTTTCTCAGACTTGCTTCCTGACGTTTCGGTTTTGTAGAAAAACCGTTTTGCCGATAAAGAGCATTAAAATTCAAACTTCTGTTAGTGTTTCATACTAACACGTTTTTCAATCAAACCAGGAAAATGTGAAAACAGATTTATAATGGAAATGTCGATGCAGTTTGAGCTGAAGCCAGACACTCAGGAGGGAGACTAGGTTAAGTTGAGAGGCTCACAGACACTACATGGCAGCTTTGGGGGCTCCTGTCCCCGTGTTCCCAGGTGCTGGTGTGCTTTCTGTTGGAGCCTGGCTTTGGATCCTTTCAACTCTTTGGGGAGCTCTTTCATCTGCCTGTGACCAGTGGGCCCAAGGTGTACTGCATGGGTCTGGCTGCGGGGTGTGGGTCTGGGCACACACTGCTGCGGGAACATGTGTGGTAGGCCACCCATCTCGCCTTGTGTGTTCATGGGTGTAAATCACAGTTATAGACCGTGTGTCCTAACTGGCACTCCCAGTTAGGACAGATTAATTCCATGAGTCAAAGCCTGCATGCTCCATGCCACGGTTCAGAGGTGGTGAGAGTCTTGAGGTCAAGGGGAGCTGTGTTCGAGACGTGTTGATGGGCGTGTTGGCTGCATGGCCGGATGTGAGCGCCCAGGCAGCCTTCCTGGCATCCAGTACCATGGGGCTGCTCTGCAGGTGCTAGCAGGGCCTCGTGTGAGTGTGGGGGCACGCGGTGTGGCTCCTGCTGAGGCCTCAGCTCCACACGGCTCACCAGTGCCACCCTCTCCTGCCTTCTCGCTCAGCTCTGCTAACCGTCAAGGTTTTGATTTTTATGAAGTCCAGTTACAGTTGCTTCTTTCTGTTGCCTGTGCTTGTGGCGCCATAGCCAAGTCCAGGGTCCTGGAGCCTTCTCTTGGAGTTCTTGGTTCTTGCGTTCATGCTAGGTCTGTGGTCCACTCAATTTGGGCAGCAGAGTTGGTAGGCTCCGTGGAATCCAAGCCCAGTGAATCAGACATGCTCCAGAAGACGGAGGGCTGTTCTCTTGTTCCTCTGTTGTCACTGTCTCTGATTCCAGGGATGCATCCCATAATGGCTGTACTGTGTAGGAAATTCCATCACCCAGCGTTGGCCTGGATGCTCCGCACGGGAGTGTGGGCTGTGCGTCTACATGATCTGTGTTGTGGAGCACTCCTCTGCTCGTTCCAGGCCCCTGCTATGAGACCATGTGGGTCACGCCCACGGCCACACCAACACCTTCCTACCGAGGGGAGGGCTGCTGTCCTGGTCCACCCACCGCTGGGTGTCGGGGTCTCAGCTTCCAGTTGAACTACCTGAGAGGCAAGGGAAACAGGTTTGATCACGCCTTTCTTAGCGTCGCTGTTTTCAGAAGACGTAGAGTTGCTTTTCTGAATTAGAACATCAGACGTATGCTGGGAAAATATAAAATACCGTCAATGTTTTGTCTCATCAGAGACAGAATGAATGAGAAGAAAAACATTTTTAAATAAGAGTTGATCACCTTGTTTCTGCCAGGTCAGCCGCAAAGTTAACGTCTCGCAGGTGTCTTTTGTTTTATCCAGCATGTTTGATGAAACACTTGTGGCACAGTGACGTACAAAACTTACTCTGAAATGCCAAATCCCTAAGGACCCTTCCCACTCTTGGGGGTCTCTAAGGTGTGATTTGATCGTGAGTGGTGGGTTGGAAAAGGCCTTGCCAATGCCCTGTGTTGGCCCACATGGAATGCTGCACCCATGACTGCTGCTGCTCTTGTAGCCGATGCAGCCTGTCAGGGTGGCCGCCGTTAGGCTGGGCTGTGTGACATCACTGTGGCTGTGGCTGAGGGGCAAGGCTGCTGGCCTGGAGTGTGGGTCAGCCGTGGTGGGAGAGGGGAACACGTTGGATTGACAGGTGTTGCAGGATCATGGAGGAGGCCCTCTGCCCCAGAGCATGTGACTGCAGGTGTCCTAGGAAGGCCCTTGAGTGTATGGAAGGCTCTGTGTGTGGGTTCTGGCCAGTCTCTCAGGGGATAATGCTCCAGAGAGGAGAGGTGGCAGCAGCACTGTGGAGACCTGAGTCTTTGACAGTTTAGGGGAATTGATGTGGGCAGAAGCAGGAGCAGAAGGCAAGAAGCCAGACCACAGAATCTGTTGACCCTGAACTTCATCAATGCTAATATCTGTTTCCTATCTTAACATAGGTGAAGAGAATACCCCTGGTCAGCTGTCTGGAGGAATGCTGTTGGAAAGTAGAGGCAACCGAGTTGTCAACAGACGAGAAGTGGGTTGGCTTGGAGAAACTGAACTCAAAGGACTTTGATTGCTTTTGGTGATGAAGAGAAAATAGCCCGGGCCTTTATGTGCCTATATTCTAGAGTTGCAAATGGCAGTGAAAGTGAGTTTACAGCAGTCTTCCTGGTGATGCTCAGCTTCTCACCAAGATGGACATGAGTGACCCAAGACAGCCACCAGCAGAGAAGCCCAAACTTGGCAGAGCCCCTTCCCAGTTCATGGGCCCTCCTAGAATCATGCAGTCAGATGATTATTTTGCTCGGAAATTTAAAGCCATCAATGGCAACATGGGACCTGCTGCTTCCTTGAATGCCTCGAGTTCTAGCGAGAGTGGTGGTGGACCTGCCAGCAGTACCCCAGCCATGCCCAAAATGGGCGTGAGAGCCAGAGTGTCTGAGTGGCCACCTAAAAAGGACTGCCCCAAGGAGCCACCCTGCAAGACACTGTGGGACAGCCGGTCTCAGAGCAGCCACGAGAGTGTGACATCCATTCTGCAGAACGGGCAGAATGACCAGGGCGAGGGGCATCAGGGGGAGCAGCTTGACCTGGGCTTGGTGGAGGCCAAGTACACCATCGGAGACATCTTTGTTCATTCTCCCCAAAGAGGGCTGCACCCCATAAGGCAGAGAAGCAACAGTGATGTCACCATCAGTGATATTGATGCCGAGGACGTCTTGGACCAGCGTGCGGTCAACCCCAACACTGGGGCGGCCCTGCACAGGGAGTATGGAAGCACATCGTCCATCGACAGGCAGGGCCTCTCTGGAGAAAGCTTCTTTGCTATGCTACGAGGCTATCGCATGGACAATTATGACCCCAAAGCAATGGTCCCGCTTGGGTTCCCTGAGTTTTTCCCCTGTGATTCTGCAATCTCCCCCAGCCTGCAGGCAGCAGCCCAGATTTCTCGGGGAGAGTTTGTCCGCATCTCAGGATTGGACTACGTGGACAGTGCGCTCCTGGTGGGGAGGGACAGGGACAAGCCTTTCAAGCGCAGGTTGAAATCAGAGTCAGTGGAAACCTCCCTCTTTCGGAAGCTGCGGACCGTCAAGAGTGAGCATGAGACCTTCAAGTTCGTGTCTGACCTGGAGGACGGCCGCCTGGACAAGGTTGTCCGCCCTTGGAACTGCCAGCGGTGCTTCGCACATTATGATGTGCAGAGCGTCCTGTTCAACATCAATGAAGCCATGGCCACTAGGGCCAACGTGGGGAGACGGAAGAACACCACCACGGGGGCCTCGGCCGCCTCGCAGACCCAGGCGCCTGCAGGCCAGGCGGGCGGCTGCGAGTCCCCTCTGGGAAGCAAGGAGGACCTAAACTCGAAGGAGAATCTGGACGCTGATGAGGGGGACGGGAAGAGCAATGACCTGGTTCTCAGCTGCCCTTACTTCAGAAACGAGACAGGTGGGGAGGGCGACCGGCGCATTGCACTGTCTCGAGCCAGCTCAGCCTCGCTGGGCTCCAGTGAGAGCTGCTCCTTTGAGTCCTCCCTGAGTTCCCACTGCACCAATGCGGGCGTCTCTGTCTTGGAGGTGCCACGGGAAAACCAGCCCGTCCACAGGGAGAAGGTCAAGCGCTACATCATAGAGCACGTAGACCTTGGGGCCTACTATTACCGCAAGTTCTTCTACGGGAAAGGTAGGAGCCCGGCTGGCTGCGGTGTGCCCGGGGTGAGTCCTCAGGCCAGCGTGGCCTGCTTTTCACCGGAGCAGGTCCCTCCGGGTTTGGAAGCCCCGGCCCAATGGGCCTGGGCATGTCCTTGTCTCCGTCATTGTTGCTGCTTTTGAAATCCAGCTCTGCCTTCGTTGATTGATGATCCCCAGTGTGGAAGAGCCTTCTTTCTCTGTCCCTTGTCTGTCTCTGTCTCTCTCTGTGTAACTCTGTGTCTGTCATTCTGTGTGGCTGTTGCTCTGTGTCTTGCTTTGTCTTATCTTGGTCTGTCTGTCTCACTCCATCTCAGTCTCACCATGCCTGTCCCTTCCCGTCTGTGCGTATCACATCTGTCAGACTGAACTTACTCTTCACCCTTTTAATAAGCCTTTCCTGACAGGCTCTGTGCGTGGACAGTTCTGTGGCTTTTCCTGCTCCGGTCTTCCCTGTATTTTGCTTCCACCATGTTGCTTCGTGTACTGGACATGCCAGACCCTGTTGAAAGGACATGTGGGTTAGCATGATAGACAGGTGGAGTTTCTTTGTAGTTTTGTGATTGGTTTCATATATTAAGAAACAATTCCCTTGTGGTATTGTTTTTAAAACTCACCAGTCCCTGGTAAGATGAATTATTTTGCTTTGGTTTGCATCTTTAGGCTGGAAGGGTACCTCCTTCAGAGGGCATGTAGAGTCCTTGGTTATTGGGTTCCACGGGTGGCCAAGCACCTGGCAGCAGCATGCAGTGTCTCCCATGTCCTCCTGCTTGGTGCAGCGGGTCCCTCGTCCCTTCCTTCTTTCTTGGGGTTCTACTTGTCTGTGGTCTCCACCTGCCACCCCTCTGCCCACAGGTGCTGCCTGGCAGAGCCTTCGTGCCTAGCGAATGCACTGCTCTGTTCTGAGCACTTGCAGTTTTGGACTCTGGGGGCTTCCCTTGCTAGGGGTTGGTGTCACTCAGACCTCAGCAGGGCCTCGGGCCCCTTACAGCCCTGCAGTCACATGGACCCTTTCCCCAGGGATGACCGGAGTAGGAGAAGTCATTTGCCAGATAAGTTGCAGTTATAACATTGTTTCCCCCTTCTGCGTACCGATATTGCCTATCACCCATCACCACGCTATCGCTAAGTCATGTAGGTCAGAAACGGTCACAGATCTGGGTGAGCAGCAAAGCTGAGCAAGCTGACATTCGCCCTGTGACATAGTGGTCACTGTGCCCAGAAGCGGTGGCTGAGCGGTGCTGCCACAGTCTTGGTCCCACTATGGCCCTTCTGCGATGGTGCTCACTGTTGTGCTGTGTTCCAGTGGCGGAGCCCAGGAACCTTTGGCCTGTCCTCGGCCTGTGTAGTAATGAGCCGTGACACGGGGCAGTCCAGGTGTGACTCAGGGCTGGTCTCTGGGGGGAAGTTGGTTGCTTCTGAAAGGGAGGCCCTGGAGCAGTGGGCTTCTTGTAAAGACTGCTTTTGTTGATGAACTGTGGCTTCCAGTGCTGACCTTGAGGTTGAGCCTCCTAGGCTTCTAGTGCTCAAGATCCCCAGGTAGCTGATGTCAGAACATCATTGTAGATATTCTGCACATGCTTGGTGCCAGTGACTCTCTCTCACGCCCCAAAGTGCATTTGGAAGGAGGAGCTGATGTTGATTGGGTCGCCTCCCTTGGGTTCATAGTGTTCTCAGGAATGCTCCAGGGGTCTCTGGTTGCTATGTGCTCTCCCTGCTCCTGTGATTGCTCTTTGTCGTTATTCTTTTAAATTCTGATCTGTCATCCTTTTTAAATTTTTTTAAAGCCAACATACTTTTTCCACATTTATTAGTTGGTGCATTTTATTTGTACGTTTTAGTTGAGGGTGATCTATGACTTCCTGATGACCTTTCCTCTGTAAGTGACATTTCTTTTGCTTTTTCTGATTTGCTTAGAATTTTTGAGGGCATTGGAAATGACATCAGACTTGTTAGATTTGAATGTGAAATAAAAAAATTAATAAGCTTCAAAGAAGAATCTGTGGCGATGCCTGTGACTCAGGACAAGTGGACGCAGACGTCCAGGGCCGAGGTGATCCTCTCTGGGCCAGGGCTTGGCTGAGGCCCCAACCCAGGCCTCCTCTGTGAGGCCTGCATGAGCGGGGAGTGGGCAGCAGTCTCTGCTTGTCTGCAGGGTTCTGTGGCTCTGCACTGGGCCAGGAGGGGCCCACACACCATGCTCCAGTGCAGCTGTGTGCCTGGTGTGATTGAAGGTTTCCTGCTTCTTCTGGTCCCTATGTGGTTCCCAGTCCCCAATTGGTCAGGTGCTTAGGCCAAGGCTGCCTCCAGCCTCCAGAGCAGCAGCCCATGGTAGCCTCGCCCCATTCCCAGCCGTGTCAAACAGCTGGTGGGGCCCTTCTGTCTGCAGGCTCTGGAGTCATGGGACGCCTGGCACAGACTGGCCCTGCTGCTGTGTGGCAGATGCCTCCTGCTGTGCTTCGTCCCTTCCCAACATTGAGTGCCTCTCTTCAGAAACTGGCTCCCAGAGGTCTTTCTGAACACGTTTTATTTGTCTTGTGTTCTCTGTGTAACTTCATTTCAAAAGCATGATATGGCTCTCTGTCTCTGGGAGATGTTTAAGGTGTGAACTTAAGTAAGGCAGCCGCTCATTAGAGGCCTCTGGTGTGGAAGGGCTGCTATTTATGGCAGGGCATCCTCGGGGATCCCTAGGGATTTGTGGGGGCCGTGGCTTGCCATTGTGAGCTGTATGTGGTGTGGCTTGTCCAGGCAGGTCCCCCTGTACCCTTCAGTGAAAGGGCTTGGGGAGCAGAGCTGCGATAGGTCCCGTCCCTTCCTCTGCTGGCAGTGGCCATTTGCTGCCCTACTGTTCTTGAGGGAGCCCCTGGTGAAGATGTGGTCCACTCTGCTCTGAGCTGTGCCTTGGTGGAACAGAGGGTGGCAAGTAGATCAGACCTTGAGCATCCACGTGCCCAGAATTGGGCGGCAGGGCAATGTACTGGGCCTGTTGGGCAGGACAGCTGGACGTCGTGCATGTTGAGGTGCGAGGTGTTGAGGCCCTCATACTGCCTCCTGAGTCTTGGAGCTCTACGCTGCCACATGGGACAAGCTCCAGGGGAAAGCCCATCGTACCCGCTGCCCTGGCTTTTCCCCACCTCACTCCCTGCAGTTGGGCCTTTGGTGATGGCTTTGTTGAACCGCCTTAGGGTTCCCACGTGCTCCCCTCCACTGTGGCTTCAGACGGGGGAGGCCGCAGGATGGCAGTGGCAGCTCCTTCCTGCGCTGCATCGCAGGCTCACTGTGGGGTGCTGGAGGTGAGGGCAGTGTTTACTTTTCATGCCAGCTTTACTGAGCGCGCTCTGCCACCATTCCTTCTGAACCTCCACAAGAACTGCATGAGGAGGTGGCACAACTGGGTACGTGGTTTAGGGTGTCCTGTGTGAGCACGTTCCCAGCTCCCTGAATGACCCTAAGTTAGCCTCTCTGCCAGATTCATTCTGAGGATTTCCCCTAACAAGTCCACAAGAAGAAGCAGGCCTGGTCTGCAGCCCTTACAGGGTCCCTTACGGGAGCTTGGCAGGGCTCCTGTGTGCCCAGCTTTCAAGTTGAGATTGTCTTTCTGTGTTGGCTACAAAACAGTGTTCCCCAGAGGACCTTCTTCATCTACTTGTGCCTTAGTGGCTTCACTGGTCTTCTGGGCCCAGGGCAGCTCAGGACTCTTTGCAGGAAGCTTCCAGAAAAACATTTCTAGCTGCTGCCCAGTGCATTGAGGCCTCTCGGGAGCTGCAGCCCTGTCATTCCCACAGGATGCACCTGGCCCTCTCGGGTCCCTTTCTGCCCCAGGGTGTGAGCCCTGGTGCTCTGGAGGCCCCACCCCACTGTGAGCAGATCCCTTTGGGGGTCTGTGAGGGTGCTGGGTCTTGCCAGGCTTCCTTTCTGGGCACGCTTCAGCTCTGCTGTTCCCAGCCCTGCGCCTTCACATGGCTTCTCTTGACCCCTCTTCTTCAGTGCTAGCCTTCGCCGTGTTAGCCCCTCACTGCAGGACAGTGCCCACCAATCTGCTCCAGGAGCCACTGAAAACAGAAGGCTCCCCTGGAACTTGGGAGTGGCCCTTTTGCCTCTGTGGCGCCAGCTTCTGTTTTGTGGCTGGGATTATCTTTTGCCATTAGACACAATTGTTTGCTGTAACTTTTAGTTGGAGGTCTACTCCTGGGAGTCGGAGGCCTGTGTGTGTGGGGGGGGGTCCTTGGTACTCAGGCACCACTCAGGGTGTTGTGTGCACCAGGATTCACATCCCAGAAGCTTTTGGGACAGTCCTTGAACTCGGGCTGGCGCCTGCCTGCCACACAGCTTGCCCCAGGGTTTCTCTAACAGGTAACGGTTCTCCCTGGGAAGAGACCACTGCCCACCCACTGGTGCAGGCTACAAAGGGTGGCCATTTGTTTGAATGGTTTAGAGATGGGGAGAAGCAGAGCAGTACGTGGGGTGGCCCGGGAACATGTCCGATGGTACTGCTACCCTTTCCAAGCACAGTCCCTCCTATGTCCCTGAGATGGCAGCTACAGGACGGAACACACCTTTACGTACAGATGGGCCTCACTGCTGACTGGCGCATGCTTTGAGTTTCATGCCTGGTGGCTTTTTCTTTCTGTTTTATACAGTCACTGACAAAAATTAATAGGCAGTTGGACACTATTAAATTCACACGGTTGAACGGAGTGCCATCTAACAATGGGACTATTCTGAGAAATAAAATCTTCCCTCAGAGGACATAATCACATCTGCATTCAGCCTGTCTCCCGGCCAGTATTGCCGTCACAAACAGAGGTCCCATTGAGTCCTGGGGGCTCCTAGCCAGGTGATTGCCCAGCTGCATGTGGGACTCAGCCCTGTGGGCCGTGTAGGTGACATAAGACCCCTGCAGGGTGCAGTTGGGGCCTGGCTGTGCCATCCACTGTGGCATGTAGGACCCCATGAAGGGCCAAGCACCACCAGGCCTGTTGACCTGGCCTGAAA